TATCAAGCTGATTCTAAAATTCATATGTAAATGCAAAGGACAAAATATAGCCAAAATAACTTTGACAAAAAGAACAAAGTTGGAGGACTAACATGACCTAATTTCAAGACTTATTATAAAGCTACAGTAATCAAGTAAAATTGGTATAAAGATTGACAAATGGATCAATGGAACAAAATAGATAGTCCAGAAATAGAACCATGCATACATGGACAACTGATTTTTGACAAAGTGTAACAGCAGTTAATGTAAAAGAAATAGTCTTTTCAAAAAATCATACTAGTCTTTTCAACAATTGGTTATTCGTATACAAAAGCAAATAAACTCTAATCCACAACTCATACCATATATAAACATTAACTCAAAAAGATCATAGACCTAAATAGTAAACCCCAAACTACAAAACTTCTAAATAAAGCATAACTGAAAACTCTTGTGACTTGGGCTTAGGCAAATATTTAGCTAGGACACCAACATGTAATCCATAAAATAATAAATTGATAAGTTGGGTTTCATTAAAACTGAAAGCTCAAACTATTGGAGAACACTACTAAAAAATTAAAAAACAAGCCACAGACTGGGAGAAAATATGTGCAAATCATATATCTGATAAAAGACGTATGCAGAATATTGAAAGAACTTACAAAACTCACTAATAACCCAGTTAAACAATGAACAAAAGACCCAAAGGGACACTTTACCAAAGAAAATATATAAAGATAAATAAGCACATGAAAAAACATTCAATATCATTTGTCATTAGAGAAATGCAAATTAAAAACAAAAGGATATACCACCACACAACTGTGGGAATGACTAAAATTAAAAAGACTGACTATAGCCAGTGTTTACAAGGATGTGGAGAAACTGGAATCTTTATATACTTCTGGTGGGAATGTAAAAAGGTACAACTAGTTTGGAAAACAGTTGGTGTTTCCAACTGTTTCTTAAAAATTTAAACTGTATGTACCATATGTTACATATGTTACCATATGTTTAACAGTTTCTTAAAAATTTAAACATGTATGTACCATATGATACATTCTATTCCTAGATGTTTATGCAGGAGAAATGAAAGTTGTCAAAGAAACAAAGTTTTAACAAATTGAGTTTAATGATCTAAATGACTTTTATTAGTTATTCACGAATCAGGCAGCCTCCCATCTATGAAATAGAAAGGTGCTCTGCTGAGCTGAGCCTAGAGGATGGGCTTTATAGGAAGATAATAGCTTAAGAAAGCAGAAGACAGGCCAGGTGCAGTGGCTTATGCCTGTAACCCTAGCACTCTGGGAGACCAAGGCGAGAGGATTGCTTAAAGCTGGGGCTTCAAGACCATCCCGAGCAAGAATAAGACCCTGTCTTTACA